TACATTTCAATTTGCAGTAGCCACATTTCAAGTGCTCAATAGCCACATATTGCTAGTAGTTCCTGTATTAGACAGTGCAGGTCATAACTTTAAATATGTTAGTACATTTATATGTCTATGTAAAGAAAATGGTGTGCGTATAAGCCAGTGGACATTTCTTACTCTGACCCTACTGAGTAACAATCAATTTTTTTAAAGTAAAATTTCAGATGATTGGGTCTTGAGCAGATGGAAGTATGGGAAAGTAAATTCTAAAAACAGGTAGAAAATCGCATATGAATATGATACCATTACACTATGTGGTATATAAGATAGTCAGGAAAATCCGAAAGCACGTTAGAATTAATACAATTCCATCTCTACAATTTGTATCACTTTTATCTTGAACTGAGTAGTTTATCCATTCAAGGTTTACTGTCTTTTTCTTCCTTGGGCTCTCTTAGGTCATACTTTGTACCCCAAACATAGTCTGATTAAGTTATATGCAATAAAGTGAGAACTAATGCATGGCCTTCCCTGTGTCCTTCTCTCATTTCTATTGTCCCCCTCCCTCTTTCAGTTTCTAATTTTATAAATGAAGATTATTTTGTTTTTCTCCCTCTTCTGATGCAGGCAGAACCCAGCTACCCAAGAAGGCCACTGTACAAGTTTTTAGTTGATAACAATGCCCCAGGAGTGTTTTATAATTTTTGAGTAGTAAATAGTGGTAGCCCAGTGCCCCAAATACTGGATTTTGAAAACTCCTCTACTGGATTTGAGACTTTTTTTTAAATTAGGTTGTGACTTTAGTTGTACAATTAATTGTCATATGGCTGTCATTGGAAAATATAAATTGCTTCATCACAGGCATCTAGTTACTAGAACAGCCTTTTAATTGTTACAGTTGACTACAGGGGATAAATATACAAGGGCAAGCAAGGATCATGTAGTTAGACTTATTTAATCATCGGATTGGGGTACGTGAGTAAACATCTTTTTAATTTTTTCACTGAATGATATATTTCTCCTTCCCCTCATTCTAAAACATGAAAAGTTAAAGATAAAGTGACCTGATAATCAAATTTTTCAGGACATGTTTGTAATTGACACACGTTTCCATTACTATTTACGAATGTGGATGAATTGTACATTGGATGTTGTTGGAACAGTTTTGGTGATTGCGGGAGCTTTGCCACTCTTCATTCTGGGGATTATTCCCTTGGTTTTCTTCTATTTCTCTATACAAGTAAGTATGTAGATTTTTATTTATATTAATTGCTTACCAGCCCACAGTCACATATAGTTTCAGACCCACTTAAACCTTCTGTTAGTCTAGGTTCTCCAGGAAGCAGAATCCAAGAAAGGATTAGCTATACCAGAGATTTACTGAGGAAAATGGCTGTAAAAGATAAAAGAGAGTGATCAGGAGAAGGACTGGGCTGAACAAGTCAGATCTGATCCCTGTGAGGGAGAAAAAGAAGGAAGAGGGTTTGGGTAGAAAGAATCTTGGACTGCTGAGCAGTTTCATTAACAAGATCACTAGAGCCTGTGGGAATTCCTCAGTCGAACTTCCCCTTGGGAGAGTTTGACTTCCCCACTGGTCTCTGGCATGGGCCTGCTTTAGCACTCCTTGCCATGCTCAGTTGTTGGCTGGGAACAACCCATGGAAAAAGTGGCTTTCACGCTAATACAGTTGCGGACCCAGTGGTGCAGCAGCTGGGGCTGTCAGTCAGTCAGTCAGCTATGCTCCCTGAAACAGGAGAGCTGAGTCTTGCATTTTTATGGACACCACAAAACCTACATGTTGTTTACATTTTAACAGAAAATTAATTTGCCTGCATATCCAAGAGAGATCAGATACTACCTTTTTGTCCTGTTATTTCAGATATCAGCAAATGGTTGCTGGAAGAGCAAAGTATGTCTTTCATGACACTTATGTGATATCTTCATATTAAAATGTGGTCAAGCAATTTAAACTCCAAAATTATGTCACCATAAGGCCACGGTTGGAATACAAAATTTCTTAACAT